TAAACTCTCCTTCTGTTCCTAAGTTCCAGCCGAAGCTCTCTGTTCAGCCAGGCTGATCTCCCCTGTCGGCTTGTCTTCCGTGACTTAGGTATAGTCAGCTCCTGCACCTTTAAAATTAATTCCTTAAAGTATGCCCAGCCTTCCTGGGCTCCCTTGCCCTCCAGAACAGCCTCCCAAGGAACTCTCTTAACCATGGACCACATGCCACACTTCGTACAGTAGTGTGAGCATTGTTATCGCCCTCGTTCTCGACCTCAGTTTTAATTGCTGGTGGGACAGAGACAGTATCACAGTCAAAATTTTCCACCAGTTCCTCAGTGTCATTGTCACACCCAATGCCTCCCTCCCACGGTTCAGGATCCACATTATATACTGATTTGTGAATTTGTTTAGCCGACTCTACAGAAGGCCTTTGGCTTAGGATAAGATGTAATTTTTCCTGTAACCATTTTTCCCGCATTGCAGCTGTGTCCAATTGCATTTTAAAGTCTCGTTTTTTGCTCTCAAGCTTATCCATTTGAGTTTCCATTTTTCCTTTCGAAAGCCAGTGAGTTTTTTAATACTTCATTTTCTGATTTTATTATGGCATATTCCACATCTGCAATTTTCTTAGACGGAGGGGACTCTCTGGTCTCTTTTCTGCATGCAAGATAAACATGCCCCTAATATTGCACAAATAATGCCTTTGCCTTTACCCTCCTTAACTCTTTGCTCACTCCTACATAGTTCTATTGACTCTACCACTTTGTTCCAAAACTTCTGGGCCCACTCTGTCTTAGCTTCAGATGGTGCACACTTACATTTTTGCAGGAGTTTATCCATGGCAACCCTGCTTGCTGCATCAGTTTACTGTCACGTGAAAGGCATGTGGCTGTGAGAGGCACGTACCCCAGCGAAACACTTGCTTGTTTCAGAGCCCCCGTAAGGACTTGCACTGAGTCAATTTGCAAGGAACCAAAAATAAGTAATTTATGAAAGCGACAGATACAAGATTCGGAGTTGCTGTTGATAAAATCACTCTCTGATTTATGATAATAATGCCAGCAAAATACTGTCCCAGGTATTACTCACCAAAAGGTGGAAGCGCGATTCTTACCAAGAAGGCGTCCCTGTCTTGGGTGAAGGACAAGGAGCACAGCCCGTCGACTGCCTCTGCCTCTTCTAGGGTCTTCTCCTCCCAACGACACATACCCTCTATGCTCCTTATATACCATCTTCCCCCGGGGTGGCATTTGGCATGATTTGAGCAAAGAGTGGCCTTCAGGATTTTGTTTTGAAGCAGCTTGTCTATTTGCAGGATGATGTTCACACCATTAGTCTCCGTGTGGCCTTGCTCTTTAGCAGTTCCAAAACAGTGACCTATTTTGTTTTAGTATCAAAGTAAATGATGCAAGCAGCATTGTATTGGTGTTGTCACTTGTTGTGAAATGTAATTGAATAAAGGTGGGTTGTTTTGTGTGTTTTGGTTTTTGTTTTTTTTCAGTTTACTTGTCGATTTTTTACCATCTGGTGCCTTTGCAATACCCATGCAACATACTTGGTTCATTTTCATACAGCTTTTAGTGATTGTGAAGGGTTCTGCTGCTGCCAGACTAGTGGTTGTGACCTAAGTTATATGGAGAAGGGGAAATAAAAGTAAGTGGAGGTCTTACAGAGTGGTACAAGAAGATATTCGTTTCAAAATGATTGGTTACGTTTCTGCTTTTCATCTAGCCTCAAAAACGTTAAACAGCTTTTTCCATTTGTATTCAGGAGCCTTGAAGTTATTGTCAAGTTTTAATTAAACTAGTATGTTCTGAGGCATGGTCTCTGGTGCTAATCCAAGATTTGCTATTTTCATCTCGATATCTATCCTGCCTTAACCTGTTAACATTTTTGGTACAAGAAGCTATTTCTGTAATGTCTCTACGTGGAAGTAGCGTTGCCATTTTGCTACCTGATTTTCTGAGCTGTGATGAAAAGCAGTTAGAAGTAGTTAAAAACTCCATTTACAAGCTGGCAGTGTTCTTCTGTAATCCTGTTGCTAATAAGGAGATAATCCAATTCTAATTTTTCAGGAGCAAGCAAGCTAAAAATCATTTCAGTAAACTGAAATACCATAATTAAACTTGATTTCCCTATCGGTGATTCAACATACACATCTGTTACTGTTTTCAGTTTGCAGTGTCATTTGTTGAAAATCTGTTGCCTCTCTTACTGTCTAATCTAATTTTCTCCTTATGTAAATATAGTATACATGTACAAATTCAATAAATTCCAAGAATGCATTGCCTTGCTCACCTATATGAATTGAGCCCTTTTTAGCATTTGCATTTGAAATTCACATTCCGCAAGCTTCAATCTTTCTGTTTATCTGAGCTCTATCCATTCTATAAAATTCAGCTGGTGAGCTTTTTAATAATCACTACTTGTAGCCAACTTGCCCTTGTATTTGTTCTGTTCTGTATCATGGCAGTTTTATTCTGAGCCCATTTTTAGTTCTGTTTCATGCTGTTTCACTGTTGCAGTACTTTCTTGGATTATCATCCCACAGTTTTTAGCCTGGCTTTTGGAGGAAGCTGTTTCTAAGAAATTTAAAAATGTCAGAAGGATATGACTGTAGCTGGAGGCTTAGCTGGACTACTGTAGAACTATTCATGTAACACAAAAGCCACCCCATCTGTTAGTGCTGCTAAAAGCAAAGCTTTAATTTGAAAAGCTTTTGAAGTATGATTGCTTGAAGAGGTTCTGTGAGTAGACATGTTGAAAATGTACAAAGGAAGCCATGCATCTTAAGAGATGCCTGTACACGAAGTATTAAATCAAGAGCAGAAACTGGAATTAATGACAGAATATGGCAATGACAACAAGAATGCAGGGATTTCACTTTAAACTTTCTTTGCCTAGGAAGGAATTAATTAGCTGGTGCTAGAGCTCTGAGTGGGTAGCATTAGTGTTTAAATTAATGTGATCTTGGTTTGCACTGTTGTACTTAGTTGCTTCTGTAACTTCTATGGTAATTTCATAATATTTACATCTGTACAGTATTTCTTACTGCAACTCTCCAACCAATTGCAAATATTAGCTTAGCCCCATGCCTTTGTGTGTGAAAAAGAAGATCTTATCCTTGTTTTTTCATATGAAGAATGTTTTAAAACAGGGAATGATTTGTGTTTTCAAGTGTCTTCCACTGCTAAGTACATGAACAGTGCTGCGCATACTAGGTTTATGACCTGTGGAAGCTTTCAAGAAGTTTGTTGTCGTCTGACCTGTAAAAAAAGTCAGTGGTAGAGCCAGAATCAAAACTACTGCTTTTAAACGACAGAGTTAACACGTTTTCCTGTCTATGCTGCTTCTGCTGTCAGAGGCTGTAAGTCATTCAGGCTTTGGCAGTTGATCATCAGAAATAATTGCGAGTCTGGACATCTTGTTTTGTTTTGTTGTCTTTGTGTACAGTAGATGTAAACATTTTGGATGAGATTCAAAAAACTTTTTTGTCTCCAAAGTCCTTTTTAAGAAACTACTTCTCTAGTGAACTTACTGAGAGGTAAAATCCTCCTTAATGATTTAATGGTAAATTTAAAAAAAAGCTAAGGTATGTATTTTCTGATTCTGAATTGCATTTGTATTATATTTACTCAACCAATGTTAAAGAAAAATGCATAAACCTTTTTGATCTTTCAGGAGTGCATTAGAGCCTTAGGCCGAAATAAACCTCATACGCCCTTCAGAGCAAGTAAACTTACTCAGGTGCTAAGAGATTCGTTCATAGGAGAAAACTCCCGTACCTGTATGGTAAGTTGATTTTGTTTGTTCTAATAAACAAAGAGAAGAGACACCCCTGAGGCTGGGGCAGAGTGAGCAAGCAGCTGTGTGGTGTTTGACTGCGGATGTGTTCAAACCATGACAGATCTGTAAATGACAAAGGCAAATTTAAAGTTGATAATGAAGGCATCAAAATATGCTCTAGGCTGTCGAGGGGAGAATTAGTTGGGATAATGGAATGAATAGTTGTGCATGGTATAAATGTGCATTTGCATCAGTTTGAAAAAACAGAATTCTTCTCTCAGGTGGTGGAAAGGGCAGACAAACTACTGAGGTCCAGTTTTATTTCTGCATCCTTAACATTTCTTCTTGGGAAAATGCAAACTCTCTGCAGTGGACACTGCAGTCTCATTTGTGTGGCTTACTTTTCACAGGCTCCTTGGAATTAATTAGTCCAGAGGCTAGAGAAGCTTGCAGAAGCATGAAAACCATGGTGTCAGGGCAGCTTAGCCTTCCCTTTAGTTGCTAGATACGGTTCAAATTTGAAAGTGGTGGTAAAATATCAAATTTTATTCATCTTTTCTTCTCCTTCAGTTTTCTGATGAAACGACAGGATAGTTTTCTTTCCCACTGACACATACCTCATCAAGTTGCGGATGTCCCTGCTCATTGCAGGGGGGTTGGGCTAGATGACCTTTAAAGTCCCTTCCAACCCAAATTATTCTGCAGCTTCATCAGGATCAGAAAGCTAAGCTGTGCGTCTCTGGGTAGTATATCCATACTGTTGAAGAATGTTTTGATAGTTTGCCTCTTGGAAATTACATAGAATAATTAACATTTGTGAATATTTCATTTAATTATCCCCATCACCATTACATCCTTAAAGTGCCCACAAGCTGTCTTGGTGACGCATTTTTAGTAAATTATTACTCTTCTCATAGAGTTGTTATAACATACTTTACCATTTAAATGGGTGAAAATGCTATGGGGAATAATCAATGATCAGTGGGTCAATTTCTGGTAAAGCTTGCATTCATTTATTTTATATTCAGTATTGTCAAAGTTCAAGGCTGGGTTGGCCACTAGACTGTGACAGATGCTCTCCATGATCCCCTCACCTCCCAGGTGAGGATAACAGGGGAAACAGGGAGAGAGACTCTGAGGTTGAAAAAATACTTGAACCAGTTTAATGACAAAACAGAGTAATACCAACAGTTGCTGTGAAGATGCGAAACTACATACTGATATATGTGTGTGTGTATATATATATATAAATATGCAAATATGCTCAAAGATATAGAGGAATATATTAATACAGGACCCATGCCTTCCAGATGACAACAAGGTCCTGAGCAGAAAAACAAAGTCCCAGGCTGGACTCAGCAGCAGACAGGAGCACCTGAGCCCAGAGTGCTGACGACAGTCCAAAACAAACAGGAAAGGAGCTGAGCTGCTTTTAGCTGTCCTCTCTGCCCTCCGCTGTCGGGGCGGAGGGGCAGGGAAAGGAAGCAGGAGGTGGGGACACCAGCAGCACAGGGAGAGATGGCAAACAGCCCCCAGCAGTCCTCCCAGCCCAGCAGCACCAAATGTCCCAGTGCTCCTCCTAGGGGCCCTTTTATACTGAGCACCATGGGAAGGAACGCTGTGATTGGTCCATTTGGGTCACCTGACCCACGCTTTCCTCCCCATAGGCACAGCTGTCCCTTATACCCAGCTGTCATGGCCACCAGTGCCAGGAGACGCGGAGAACTTCTGTCCTGGTGCTCTCAAACCAGGAGAAATATGGTTCTAAATTAAGGGAGGAGATTCCTTCTGAAAGAGAGCAGAAATATGCTTATTTTCTTTTAATTTTCCCATTCATTTAATTACAGTCACTTTAAAATTAAGAATAAGAAAACAATTTTATGATGAGATACCACTTTGAAACTCATTCTTCTCTTACTTTTTCATGTAGTTTCTCGTACTAGGGCCACTTGTGATTTTCTGGTTTTAGAGTTTATTTACTTGTAATTTTTATCAAGAATTTCATCAGCAAAGGTTTTTCTTAAGATACTGATATGAGAAGAAGAACACTTGGATAGTTGTGGCTTAGTCTGAATTGTAGTTGAAAGGAAATTTGAATTGAGCTCTCACATTTGTAGCACTTCGTCCTGCAGTAACCAGATGGATACAGGATAAAGCTGCCTGTCTAGAGATATGATGGGTTTCTAAACAGTGTGTATTGAATTGAGGGAGGAGCAGGAGGTACCATAGGCTGGAATTACCTCCAATCCTTGCCACTGCCCTGGAAAGAAAAGCAGAGATAATGTGCTCCAGTGGCCACATGGTGCAAATAGTGATCAGCAGCTTCTCACCCTCATCCTCTGGATCTTCCTTTGCCTCTTTTATCAAGACAATTTATCCAGCCTTCCCGTGCAGTGTTTGCAGTTGGATTCTTGGCAGGGTGTGTCTAGTTTGTAAGCATGTTCTTCTGTGGAACAAAATTTTATTGATTAAAAATGTTAGTTTATAGGATCACAGAGGTGTTTGTCCTGGTAATGCCTTTATGGGTCTCTTGAGGGGAGCACAGATCTACAAAAAATTTATTGATTAAATTTACAGGGAAAGAAAAGGGCAAGCCGTTATGGTTTATGATGGCTAAAGGTGAACAATATTTCATTAAATTATAAGACTACTTATCCTGCAAGTGTGCTGACTGCTAGTTTGCAGTAGAGCCATGTAATTACCTGGTGCTTCAAAGTTTAAAAAAAGATTGCAAAAATACTTTACTAATGAGTAGTTTCCTTTCATGTTCCTACAGTTGACTACGTAGATCATTGCTATTTTCCCTAGAAGTCTCTGTGTGAAGTAAATTAAAGCATAGAAGAACTTTTTAGTTATAACTGTTACAACTGTCACAAGCTAACATGCAGATCATGATAGTATTTCCTCCAAAATTTTTTAGCCTGTTACAGGCAAGATAAATTAATGAGTTTGCAACACAGAAAATACCGTTTATTGAACATGTAGGACCTCTTTTCAATTGTTATTTTTGCTTGTCAGTGAAGAGGAAGTTGTTGTAAAGGGATTCCTCAACAACAAAAAGATTTGATCCAGTATTCTAACGTGCAGTTAGAGAGTGAAATTTATTGCAAACATTCCTTTGAATGTGGAATGCATAAAAAGTGGTAAAGTAAAAACTTGTGATTTTAACTTTCTAAGACATTCCTGAAATGTCATGGTATAGCATCCCTGCTGAGCCTTTTCCACTTGATTTGTGGAATACTAATCTGTAAGTGGGATATTTGAGTCATAGAATGAGCTGGGTTGGAAGGGACCTTTAAAGGTCACCTAGTCCAGCCCCCCTGCAGTGAGCAGGGACATCTTTAACTGGATTAGGTTGCTCAGAGCCCCATCAAGCCTGACCTTGAATGTCTCCAGGGATGGGGCCTCCACTACCTCTCTGGGCAAACTGTGCCAGTGTTTTGCCACCCTCATAGTGAAGAACTTCTTCCTAACCTCTAATTTAAATCTGCCCTGCTCTTGTTTAAAACCATTGCCCCGTGTCCTGTTGCTACACACCCTTATAAGCAGTCCCTCTCCAGCTTTCCTGCAGCCCCCTTCAGGTACTGGAAGGCTGCTATAAGGCCTCCCTGGAGCCTTCTCTTCCCCAGGCTGAACAACCCCAACTCGCTCAGCCTGTCTTCACAAGGGTGGTGCTCCAGGCCTCTGATCATTTTTGTGGCCCTCCTCTGGACCCACTCCAACAAGTCAATGTCCTTCTTGTATTGAAGGCTCCGGAACTGGATGCAGCACTGCAGGTGAGGTCTCACCAGAGCAGAATAGAGGGGCAGAGTCACCTCTCTTGATCTGCTGGCCACATTTCTTTTAATGCAGCCCAGGATGTGATTGGTCTTCTAAGTCAAATTTATTTGGTAATTTCTACACTTAATTTTTATTTGACTTTTCCTTTCTATTGTTTGTGGACTTCCTATGACAGTTTTAAAAGTTACATCTTTATAGAGATGGATCATTCTTTTCTGTATATAAGACTAAACTATGATTTGGAAACTTTTTTTTTTCTTAAATTTCAGAAAAATATTTTGAAAAGAACTTCATAACATGGACAGTTATGACTAGGATCTGTTTTGTTGTAAAGAAATCCAGAAATGTACAGTCAGCATAAATAGGTTGTTTTGAACTTTGTTAGTCATTGTAGTAGTTTTACTGAGGTTCTTGCCCTTAAATAGTTTCAAAATCCACTTAAAGTGGATTTTACGAGTTACGTAGCAGGATAATTTATCATCATTTGAAATTTGCAAGGCAGCTATGTAGAATAATCTCATCTTTTAACCAGTGCTGTATCCTTGGTGTATTGTGTCCTTGACGTACTGCAGTCACAGCTGGAGTACCAGGTCCCTCAGCTCTCCAGAGTGGGAGTAGGAACCTGCAGAATTCAGTGTTGCAAAAGGGGCATTGGTGCCACTGTGATGGCTTATAGACAACTTAGACACATTTGAAATAGAAAGAGTAGTAATTACGGATCTTGAAGACATTCTTGTCCCAAAATAGTGCAGCTTTTTCCATCCTCATTTGGAGCTATGAATGACAAAGCGAGCAGCAGAGAGGCTGGAGTCCTCCTGCCCTGCCTGGACTGGGCTTACTGGGCCATGAGGACAAGTGTGTGTTCAATGGACTGAGCTTTGTTAATTAGCACCCAGTACGCTTCATAAAGAGACAAGCAATCATATGATCTTTTTAAATCTACGTTTGTTTTCATTAGTAACTGATGTGGACCAACTGATGTGGGGATTAAACCTAAGTCTGTATGGCGGCAGGTTCTTTAGACGTTCTGACCCCCTCCCACCACATGGTTTTCCTTTCTTCCCAGTCTTCTGAGGATGACTACGTAAGCTTTTGTATAGCAGGATGAAAGAGAAGACCAGGATTATCTGATCTTCGTCAGTATCAGTATCCTGATGCTGTGCTGCCACAAAAAATGTTAGTTTATAGGATCACAGAGGTGTTTGTTCTGGTAATGCCTTTATGGGTCTCCTGAGAGGAGGACAGATAGAGAAATGGGACCACTGAAAGAAACTAGAACAAACAATGATGGCACTGTTGCCTGATCACTTGCTAAGTGCTGGAAAAAAGGTGAGGTGTTCAGAGTGTTTTACTTAATTGGAAAAGGAAAGACCTATAAACTCCAAATATGTCTGATAATAAGTTAGTTATCAAGTACTGTTCCCAGATAACTTTTGAGAAAAAAATCAAAATATTTACTTAGCAAACTAGTTAAACACATGCTTTTCTTTGATATGGTTAAGTACAGTTTTGGACTGTGACCGGAATAGATCTCATAAATGAGTATGCAGTGTGCTTGAACGGAGAATAGTCTACGAAGATAGATTAAAAGATAATCTAGTAATTGTTTCCAGGACATATTAGACTTACTGAGTTGCATATTTCCCTTCTTGAAGAGTCTTTATTTTTTCAGTTACAGTTTTGCATTTGCATATTATGTTACCAAGACAGTGATGGCTGAAGCTGACCGAATTTCTATGAATTCTTAATGTTCCAGGTGGTTAAAAAAATTAAATTGAAGCTTTGACTTGACATCTGTCTCCTTGAGGTGCCATTGTATAAGGAGAGTTGTACAATGTAGACTTTTTTTTGTAGAAGATCTGAAATGAAACTAGAGTTAAAAAAAAAAAAAAGTTCACCTACCCTTTCATCTGTACAAAGTGATTTATTAATTTGTGGCTCATTTTCTCCAGATCGCTACAATTTCTCCAGGGATGGCATCATGTGAAAACACTCTAAATACACTGAGATACGCAAATAGGTATGGAAAATGTTATTGCTTATATCTACTTGCTGTTGATTACTGACATTCACAATAATGTTCGTCCATGTTGTTTAATTATTTTAACTACTGCTTTTTTAAGATTAAAACCAAATTACTGATCCAGTATTTAATTCAAATTGTCACTGTTTACAACCATTACATTAGAATCAGTAGAAACTCCATTTAAGCCATTATCCAGAAATGGATAATGTTGATTGCAAGGAATGTGAGTGATGCCATTATTAGTTCTGCCCCTGCTCTGGAGGCACTATCTATTGCATTAGGGGTAGTTGGTATTCATGATGATTCCCTGGAGTGTCAGCTGAAATACCTTTCTGCAATGTGATTTATTTTGTTTCATCCCCTTGGTGGAATTAGATGCAGTTGCCAGTCTGTTTCATACATATATATGAAATTTTATACTTCCCAGCTTCAGGCAAATACCTGAGACCCCTAAGTAAAGAGTTAGTTAATCTAGAAGTGACTTTGTAAACAGCGTACACAAATTAGAGAGGCCAGTGCAGCACCTCCTGAGACCTGTACTGCTCTCTGGAAGTGTTTGTTTCTCTTCCGTGAGTAAGAAAGGAGCCTTCTGCTGCAGTTCTCCTTCGTTTAATGTTTGTGGAGATGGGGTGATCAGGTCCTGCATGTCCCTGCTCGCAGACCTGGGACCTGGAGACCACCCCCACGTGCTTTGCTGCAAAGAATGGAGGAGGCAAACATGCCCCTGGCCCACCAGAAATCTTGGTTTTGCCAGAAGAGGCTACTGTCTAGTGGCCTCCTTGCCCCAGGGAAAGGTGGGGCAGAGCCAAGCCTGTTCCTGCTTGGCTGGGCCCTGGGGTCTGTCGCTATCTGGGCACAAAAGGCTTCTAGGAAAGCTTACTGCCCACTCCTCAATACCAGAATGCCTCTGTGTCTGGATCAAGGGAGATAGTAGCGAATCTGCATGGTTTGGGCCAAGTCTGTGTGATCTCCTTCCTGACAAGGAGGAGGCAACATAATAAAGGGCTTTTGCACATTCATGAAGGCTTTCTGAATCTTTTACCCCTTATAGAATACGCGTAGGTGAACTGACTCCAGAAAAAAAAAGCACTACAAAATTAATTAAACACCAATTTCTGGTATACTAAGCAGTTGTGCTGAAATTGTTTCTTCCCCTTGGTGCTAAATTTGTATGTTGTTAGGGGATAAATGCCTGTCACTGTAAAGTTGCTTCATGTCTTTTGTGTAGTATTTTAGTTTTTTTCTAGCAATATATCATTTTCATAGGACAATTAGTGTTCAGGTGCTGGACACGAGTGTTGTGTGCAGTGTAAGACAGGAAACGGAATAGAATTTAAAGTTTTGTGATGGATAATTTAAAAGGAGAAATTTAGTGGAATATTGATGGTAGAGCAAATTTTACAAACTGCATGACCTGAAATCTGGAATCATTATTCTGAAAACACTGCTGTCATAGTCCCCTGCATGTTAGCAGCCCTGGTTTTGTTAACTTCTGTTAGTGATCTGTAACTCTGTTTGCAGAAGGTTTAAGTATGCACACTTGTGTTTTAATATACAAATAATTTTTTACTATAAAAATAATTTTAAACTATTGATTAAAGAATTATGTTAAACAAAGAGTTGTCATTTTAACTGTGTTTATGAGAACATTTTCTTTTAATTTGCTGCTGTATTTTGCTGCTGCAGAGTAAAGGAATTTGGAATTAGTCCTTCGGACATTCCCTTCTCACAGGGTAGTGGCAGTCGCTCTGATCTCTCTCCTTCCTATGAGTATGACGACTTTTCTCCTTCAGTCACCAGGTCTACTTCATTCTATACATGGAATCCTTATTTTTAAGTTTTCTTTTTGGCTATGTAATTTTACAGACCAACCTTTCATTAGTCCCTTTGCCTTGAGTCACACATACTTTGTTTTTATTTTGTTTGGCAGGTGATGGTTCTGCATGATCTGCAATCATCTTCCCAGTATTTTGTTCACCCTCCTTAAACATTCACACTCTGTATCCAGGCTTGCTAGTTTCCTTCATACATTTTTTTAAAAAATGGTGATGTCACCTTTGTATGTCTAATGGGCCAAATCTGGCAAGACTGTGACTAGGGTAGTTTGAATATTTCTGATTAAAAAGGAAAACAATTTTCGTACATATATATTTTTAAAACTTTTCATCACTTTGAAGATGAATGAAAAACAGTTTCTATTGTAGTAAAAAAGTCCTACTTAAAAAATGTTTTTCCCTTTAAAAAAAGACTATATTCTAAAACTTGCTATACTTGCAGACTTTGATATGTGTTTCATAAACCTGCTTTTAAACTGGCTTTTTTTTTGACAGAATCATTATTAATCTTTTAAACTATTTACATGCTGCAAGGTGAACATTTCAATCTTATTAACATCTTATTAATATTTAATAAGATGATTATTTTAATTAAAAGATCTGTTCATTCTTTGAGATACTTGGTTGCACATTATTTTTTCTTCAGAATTCTTGGTGGATATACTTATAGCCTGGTCTAGTCGAGAGGTGGCGTCCCTGCCCATGACAGGGAGGTTGGATTAAATGATCTCTAAGGTCCCTTCCAGCCTAGGCCATTCTATGATTCTGTGGTAACAGCTAATGGACTGATTGACTAATTAAAGCACAATTGGGTGCAGAGAAAAAGAGAGATGGTCAGGCTTAGGGTGCTCAATGAACTTTTTTTTCAAATATTACTCCTTGTTAAGGAGTTAATATTGAAGGTTTGGAGACTTTTGCCCTCTTGTCTGTTAACAAGTAGTAAGACTTCAATCAGAAAATGGCTCTTGCTAGAAGGTGATCCACCTGCAAGCAGTTGAAATTCAGTGATCCATGCTTTTTTAGGTGCTGGAATAACAGCTTTTTGTGGCTGGAAGTACATTAAATTTGGGAAGCTGACATCATCATCCTTATTAAATGAATTAATTGCGCATAAATCTGTAGAGCTTTATTTTTGATTGTAGCTGTTTTGCACGGGAAGTTACTAATTTACAAATGAAACATTTTCTGCCCTTAGGGTGAAGGAGCTGACAGTGGATCCTAGTGCCGCAGGAGATATCCGTCCCATTATACACCATGCTCCCAATCAGATCGAGGACTTGGAGACACAGTGGGGTGTGGGAAGCTCTCCCCAGAGGGATGATCTCAAACTGCTTTGTGAACAAAATGTGAGTAGTTTACAGCATTGCTTTGAAAGAGGTGATGGCAGAACAAATCCAGAGAAATGCATTATTTGTAGCCTATCATCAAGATCGTCAAGTAAATATGCCTCTTCACCTTTTCACTTCATGGTATTATGTTCGTTACTGTACAAAAAAAGACCACCACAAAACCACGAACAAAAAGCAGACAACCCCAAACCATTTCTGGAAGGGTGAGAGGAGAATGTTTTACTTTGCTTTATCTTACTTGCTGATTAGGGCGTTTAAGGTCCAGGCAGGGTCTGCTCTAGGCTCTGGCATTCTTCAGCGTGCATTTTTTACAGAATAGCTTCATATTTTATTTGGCAGTTAGAAGTATACTGGGATGCTCATCTGTTTTATTTAATGTTTTTGTGGTTTTGAGCATTATTTTCCCTGCAAAGCAACACTCATTTCAAGCAAGTTTCCCTTTCTTTGCATTTAGAAGTCTAGTTACCCATCAGTCCTCTTCCCGACATCCTGATTTGCCTAGGGTGAAACCCCCCAGTGCACTGTTAGGGAGAGAGGCACATCGTGCTCCCAGAGTGTCTCCCTGGGCTGCGGGAGCTGGGAGATGAGATGCATCTTCTGAAGGGCATTTTTCCCTCATTGCTGATTATCAGCTCTAGGCCTGCTTCCTAGAATGTTCAATGGATTAAAACTCGGTTTATGAAAATGCAGATGAAAGACAGAAAAGAAAAATCCGTACTATCCAAACTTTTTTTTTTGAAGAGTGAATGCCTTCTGAGATACCTTCTGCTTTCATTTCTCATTTTAGTAACTGGCTCTTTTTCTATGACTCTATTTTGTAAGAACATGCTAGTGGTTTCTAGAGCTTTGCACTGGCCAGTCCTTCCAATCAGATATCCTTTCATATGATACTTTTCTGTGGTTCATGTGGAATTAAATTAAGCTTTTCAATATTTTGGATATAAAAAATATTTCAAAGGCATTGTATAAGGAACTATACTGTCTTGCTAAAACTTTTAATTGCAACCTACTTAGTGCTTTCCCTTTTGATTGTTAACTATTAATTTCAAAAGAAGCCCTGTTTGCACCAGTTTGTAACTGTTCTGCATTTTTCTCATATTTTAATTATTATGTATATTTTAGATTTCTCATTTTACATTTATTCCACTTTTTTTTTCCAAAGGATTAATTTAATTTTGATTTCCTGATGTGTACTGAATGTAATTGCTGTTCTCTTTTTCTGAAAATTGCTGTCTCTCTGTTGTCATAGGCACAACAGAAAGCCCTGACAGAAAACCAGAGATTTCTCTGAGCGTTACAACCTACTAGAAATTGGCATTCTCCCCTTGTGACTTCCCCTTCACACTATTTTAACTTGTTTTTTTTAATGTGGAATGTTCTGTGTTCTAGTATTCAGTAGAATTAGTGGCTGGAATTTTTTAGTGACTATGAATTAAATTTTACTCTGGGGACATTTTGAATGTATTGCCCTCTGCTTATGTCTGGAGATTTTCTTATTGGAAATATTAAATTCTGATTTTTGACAGGTTCTGCCTTCTGCATATTTATTTTTTTTTTTGTTCACATTCGGTATATTTCCTGTAGCCACACTTCTTTCCAGACTAACAAGCTTAACTATTATTTTTAGGAAGAGGAAGTTTCTCCACAGTTGTTTACTTTCCATGAAGCTGTGTCACAAATGGTAGAAATGGAAGAGCAAGTAGTAGAAGACCACAGGGCTGTCTTCCAGGTAAACGATGGAGCTCTGCTTTGTTTTATTCTAATCCAGAAACCCAGGTTTTCCCAGTGAAAGTACACACTATTGAAGATGTAGGCTATCATCTAGTCATTCCGCTGCTGTCAGAGATTTCTAAATTGTTTTATTATGCTAAGCCCGTTGTAGCAAACAAATGGAGACAGATCTCATAACTGCTAATTTTGTCCCCATGATGAAAAAGATATGTTTCTGTATCATGCCACAAGTTTAGTAAAGTTTTCATTTTCTTCTTAACAAACTTTCCTAAATAGACTGTGTTCATTGTAAGAAAAGTTGCTGTTTGCCTTATACCATTTTTACTATTCAACTGTGTTTTAAGTTCCAATCTTTTTTCAGCATTACTGACTGTGGTTATTTTTTCTAGTTGCAGGAAGTTTCTTGATCTTGAAACTTCTATTCTATGCCAATATCCCTATGTCAGAGCTGGCAACTAATAGTAGCATCTCTATCAGCAGCATTTCGGTTTGGTCATTTCCCTCTAAGATACTGCAGTCCTCCCTCCAAGTATCTTATCTAAGTATCCTTTTGTGACATCTCCTTCTGAGATACTGAGGTCCAGAAGAGACAAATGTATTTCAGTGTGTCCGCTGCCTTTTTACAGGAGTATAAAGGTTTTCACTTGCTATTAGTCAGGATCTTCAGAAGAAATACTGCCCATGCAGTGTAGTGGTCAGCACCACGGAGCCTTTTACATTCACAAATAAATTGTACTGATGAGTTACTAGTTTTGAGAAGGAGATTTGAGTTGCTTCTGTTCATAAGCTTTGAGTCTTTAGGCATGCTGTCCATTTGGGATATCTGCTGCAAGAGCACAGCAGAGAATTAAATTTGTCAGGTATAAATACAAATTCCTCAATTTAGGTATCTATGTTCATGGAATGTTGAAGTGTGTTCATAATACAGTAGGATGCTAAGTAACAAGTTTTAGAACTGATGTAGAGATTTAGTTATTGTGAAACATTAGCCCTGAAGTAAAACTTGCAGAAGTGTGAAAGTCATAAGCAGTGTCCTACTGCTTTTGACTTGTGAGACAGGCTGCATGAATTTAAGATGTTACTGCCTTTCTGTGCCCATCAGGCCTTCTGCTGGAGATTGCTGCTCCTCCCAGCAGCCACTGGAATGAAATGTGTCCTAGCCTCTCCTTTGAAGCATGGCTTCTTAGTTTCCGCCATGGGTGGAGGTGGGCTACACCGATACAAAATGTACCAGCTGTATCAGGCAGAAGTTGTCTTCTGTCAGCTTTCTCCTGGAAGCTGCTGATACAAAACTTCCTTTCCTAGCAAAAAATGTCTGAAACATATCAACTGAATTGTGTTCTAAAGGCGTTGGTTTGCCCTTATTTCTTGGATGTACAAGTTTACCTCAAATGAGATGAACCTTGTCCCAATGTGAGCTCCATCTGTCCTGAAAGTAAAAAAAACAAGTGTGAGGTTTGGACTACACTTTCAGTATTACTTAGGCTACTGAGCATGGAAGGAAAGACTTAATTTTAGTCTTTCAGGCCCAGCATGCCTAGAACTGTCAGCTGCTTTCTTTTTTTAAATCAAAGCATTTCCGATGGGATCAGTTCTCCTGATCATAGCTTTGCATGGTTCTGTAAGCTCTGAGCTCTGACTGCATTCTTTTTTGCTGCAAGATTCATTTTTTTCTTACCTCCTCTTTGTTATTTTTGTATTATACTGCGTGCCAAGATGCCCAAGAGCTGCTTTAACCAAGCTGTACTGTACTTTTGTCTGCCTAGGGACTTAGTTCATGCAACAGTGAGCTTAACATAGCTCTTCTGGTTTTAATGATGGTCAGAATTATCCTGGCTCCTTGACTGTAGTAATGACGCTATGGTTATTGTCAGTGTCAACCAGCCCATATTTAAAATTGAAGCCTGACTTCAAAGTTCAGTACCTGCCTAAGGTCATGTAGCTGTGACAGAAAGTTCTGTTCTCTGAGTTTCGTAGCTTCACAACTACCTAATGTTCTGAATTTGAAGAGAACTGGGGTAACTAGGGTTTACCTGTTGCAGATATGACCACTGGAAGCAATGTAGAAAGTACACAGTTTTGCTGAATCAGGATTAAGGTTTCAATTTAGGATTGAAATCTGTTATAATGAGGTGACTAGACAATAAAAGTGTCATCATCTTGAGAAAAGGTCTAAATTCAGCTCTTTGTCTCGAAACTTGTCTTGAAACTTTGCTAGTGTATTTAGTTGTGTTTTTTTTTAACTTTTACCTAGGAATCTATTAGATGGCTGGAAGATGAAAAAGCTCTTCTTGAGATGACAGAAGAAGTAGACTATGATGTGGATTCTTACGCTACCCAACTTGAAGCAATTCTAGAGCAAAAAATTGATATCCTGACTGAACTCAGAGGTAGATTGCTTTTAATCACTTTTGTCTGCATTATTAGCAGTGTGTTGTCATATGCTATGGAGACTTGCAGTAATAATCAGGAGAGAAAAAAGACTGTGGCTATGGTTTAGGGTCCTTTTTCCTCTTATGCTGCCCAGCAATGTCCTGTGGAAGGAAGATTTATTCTGCTGCCCCCGAACAAGTTCACATCTATGCTCCATTCATCCTAGTTCAAAGGAAAAATCTCTGCTTTACATCCAGGAAATATAAACTCGATCCTGCAATTTTCCTTTTTTTTCCCCTTTGTTCCAAAACAATAATAGGAGGAAAAAGAAGATTCAAGCAAACAGTGTGGGGGAAAAAAAAAAAGTAATGCAGTGAGGAAAAAATAGTAGGAACTTCCAGTTCCTGCAGTTCCAGCTCTGATGCAGTCTGTAGTGTAGCCGGGAGCCTGCAGTCATTTTTAATACTGTGGTTAAGAGTGGCATCGCGCTTTGAGTAGCTTGGTTATTAACTTACTTTTTTCTTCAGCAGCCTTTCTGTCTGAATTTTGTCAGCCTCTGTTTGTTGAAAAACAAACTGCAGATAGTTCTTGGTGCCCAAAATTGACTCTTCCACTCTTATAAAATCAACTTGTCAGCTTGGTACTTCATGAAGATGAATTTTTCATCTTATTTTCTGTAACTGTTTGGACTCCAGGAGACATGCTATACTGGTAAAAATTCAAGGATGTGGTTGGGGCTGAGTGGTGGGTTTGTGTGGGGTTTTATTTGTTTTAAATATGTGTTAGAAAACTCCTTATAAGACACAAACTTTTTCTTCAGTCTGAGTATCTGCTGTAAGTTGTAAGAAGAGAGATTTGGACAGGCTGGATCGCTGGGC